AATGAATATGGTCATAGTTCACTATTCATTGTTCAATGCCTCATAGTTCAACGAAAACATGAAGTTGATGTTATATAAACGTAACGAATAAAGTACTGGTGTACCGATATATTTTAACGTTACATTAAGAGTACAACAAGTTCAATCGATTGAAATATGTACAAATATTCAGATCAGTTTCACAAAAAGAAGATGATAATATAAACCGAAAAAATTTTGTTTGCGAATCCAAATTTCGGGATTTTCATGAATAAGATCACCGATTTATGTTCATTTCAATCGGTTGAACAAGTTGAACAGATCTGTAAACGCTGTCTAGCCTTCAACTATACCATCTTTTTTGTGCATTGAGAGAAATAACTTTGAGAAAACAGTTTTCAGTTACCAAGTATCAATGATAGTTTTCAGAATTATGGCATTTTTAAAATTCACTGCAACAAGAGAAAAGAAAAAATTCAATGCAAATCACATTCGTTGATTCATGTTGGAATCATGTTGGGAATCAAAGCACCTCCAACTGAATATGTTGGCAAAAGACAAACGAATGCAAGATAATGTGTATTCGAAGAAATGTCAATAAAAGTGATTCTTTGATGTGAAATTGAACAATCGGTTCTGTTGTAATTCAAATCTATAAATTAATCCACAAGGCAAGGCAGCGATGATGGGAAACGACCAGATGGCATGACTCTCATTCCTCAACAGAGAGGAAAACCGTTTGTCTGGGATTTCACCTGCGTTGATACTTTGGCTCCTTGTCACGTTCCTTCAACTTCTGTATCCAGCGATGCATCAGCTTCATCAGCGGAATTGTGCTATTATTTGGGAGGTCATGTTATTATTTATGCAATAGGAGTCGAAATTTTTGGTACCTTAGGCCCCCAAGCATTGGAGTTCATTCATGAAATAGGCATCATCTCCAAAGAGACGAATGACCCAAGAGCTACCTCTTTCTTGATGTTCAAGTACAATTCCTCAATCAAAAACACTAGGTCGATGTTTCTCATGAACAAAATATATCAGCATCTTCCTATGATGGTACAGCCAATCCTATCCTATCCTTATCCCCAATCGAGAATTATCTGTCACATATGTTCTTCACCGATGCCGCTATGCAATTCTCATGTTTTCACGCAACGCAACGAATATGTACAGACAGTGCAAGAACTGGAGTTGTGCAGTTTGGTGGAGGACTCTCAGCAATACGGTCAAGTTTTGACAGAAGAGGCTGAGCTTAGTCCTTTGGCTGAGCCCTCACAGTCCCCAAAAGAATTAATAACCAATTCAGTTTTGAGCACTTTTGCTTCGAATTCCTTATCCCACCGATCCAATGAAGGGGTGGATCATCGTATCCGTATTTACTCAGAAGAAGTTAGTAATGGAAAACGTACAACAATAGTTACAACAATAGATCGGTGATACATTCTTCAGTCAGAATCCTTGGGTTTAATGGGTTGAAAAATATTGAAAACACCTGCTTGATGAACAGTGTAATCTAATGTTTATCAAACACGAGATGGTTGCTGAAATATTTAAAAAAGGATATATACATGGAAGATATCAGAACTAGTGTTTCAAGTATGAAAGGTGTTTTAATCAAAGCGTTCGCAGAAGTCATCAAGGAATTGTGGTCAGAAGATTCATCTGATAGAGTAATTAACACAATGTACTTTAAAAGGTAGATTCAAAGATTTGCCCCTCATGGATTCTGCTCATGGATTCTGCTTATCAAGACGTCCACGAGTTCCTTTGATATCTTTCAAAAGGTTCACATGAGGACCTCAACAAAATTACTGAGAAACCTGAACCGATCTCAACAGAGATTGACGAAAAGTTGAGCGACAGTGAAAAAGCACAAGAGTCCTGGCTGAGATATTTAAATATGAACAACTTCAAGAATGTAGACAATTTCGTTGGTCAATTGAAATCCACTATGAAGTGCACACACTGTGGATACTCATCAGTAACCTTCGATCCTTTCTGGGACTTGTCCCTCCCCATGCCACAAATAATTAGCCTATTGACCTAGTCACATTGCTTGGATTCCTTCACAAGACAGGAAACTCTGGATGGAGATGAAAGACCAACGTGTTAGAGGTGCAAGAAAAGAAGAAAATGTACAAAGTCCCTATCAGTCTATAAGTTTTCCCGTATTTTAGTAATCACAACGGGCTTCACACAGCATATTGCTCTTCTTCTTTCCAATTTTTTTATAAACCTAGTTCTCTGAATTGATTTGCATTTCATGATTATTTCAAATATCAATAGTATTATACAAGGCAAGTAGTCGTAGGCCTGTTTGAAACCGTTAAACAACAAAGTCATTGATTTCAAATAGAAAGTGGTACAATTTTAGAATAACGTTTTTCATGAAAATGTGAGAAACTTTCGAAGAAAGGAAATAAGTAAATACTTTGGAAATGAACTCTTCACAAAGATATGTGAATCATGCAAAGAAGTAACTTTCAGACACAAACTGGAAGAAAAAGTCCTCTTCGTTTTTACATTTCTGTATGCAGATGGAGAAATAGAAATTCAAAAACTTCCCTGAATTTTGTTCATGACTTTCGTTTCAACATCTTCGAGATGAAGATATGATTAGTTCTTGTTTTTTCCTGACTGAATCCACTTTGATAATCTTCTCTTTTCTCCGTTTCGTATAGTTCAATCACATTCTCATTATTTTCGCTTTGTTTTCGTACACTATCGCTGATAATGTGATTCCTCTGTAATTGTCAAAAATTGCTTGGTCACCTTTTCATATATGTGGTCATTACCCTGGTATTTTTTTATTTTGCCATTGAGATAGGTCAAGCTATTACTTTCGACCTCCAGTAATTATGCTGGTATTCCATTTCTTGCAGGGTTTTTGTTTTTCAATTCTATCATTGCTACTTTCACCTCCGGCATAGGAGGTTTTCATTTGTAAATTAATTTCATACAAACAAACCACTGATAACTTCAAAATATTTTTCTCTGGAAAAGCGATACAGGTTCTAAGGCAGTTAATTTTGAGCTCCACACCTCACTTCTGAAAAATCAGCTCGTGCGAATGATCCTGCTACTAGTTATTTTACTATTCACTCGGTATTGAGTTAGTAAGTTGTTTTGTTTCGTTTGACTTTACTCTTGCTATATTGTATTTTTCTAAAAGCAACAGATGATTATTATTGTTACTTATTAGTGAAGTATTGAAGATATTCATAACTTCATTAGATGTAACTGGTTATTTGAATATGTTATCGTTTGAATATAGTTTTAGAATGTTTCTTATTCGATATTTGTTGGTACCTACCTGGTCATGACTTACAAAAAGGGATAGCAAATAATATGTACTGAATTTTATTTATTCACAAAACATCGTGAATTCGTACAAAACTTTTTGTTTATTATTTCGATATTGCAAAATAAAACGTTCGTGGTAATTCAATCGTTTATTTCATTTGTAATATTTTCAGCCAGTGAGTCTAACTCAGTTTCGATAATACAAATCAATATAGTTGAAATTGAAGTAGAATATGAATTTCTGAAATCATCATAATATTCCTGAGGTTTATTCTGAGGTGATTCATTTGAACTATAATCAAATACTTGACAGAGACTTCTCATATTACATGAGGATGAAACATGAACACATTTGCCACTTCCAGAAGTATGATCAATTTCAACTAGTCGATAGTACAACAGATATTTAATAATCTTCATGGAAACCAGTTGATACTCTTGATATGAAGAAAAATTAATTGTCATATTGTCAGACATCTCAATTTTTCTGCACAAATAATTTCAGTTTGACAAAAAACTCCTAATTATACAGTAAATTTGGTACTTAGTTGTACAATAGGTTATCGTCACAGAACCCGGTCATATTGAATAACTTTATATTTTTAACTTTTTAGTTCGATGTTCTTTGAAAGCGTGTTTTTTAGTTTTTTCAAACTATATTTATTTATCTACTTCTTCTTTATAAACAATGTATGTCAATTAATAAAGCCCATTTGTTATTATTAATAATTCAGTATTTCATAGAGGAACAATCTAGAGAAGTATAGTCATATTGATGTGATTCAGTGATATGCAGAAGCTGAATAGAGTGACAATGTTGAGCAACACCAGAATAGTATATATTATATTTTCAAAATGAATCAATTTTTTGAAAACCATCTTTTTTCAAGAAACTTAATTTTCGATTTTTGGATTATGTGAAGCAGACTATTTTGCATTCAGTGAGGCAGATTTTCCTCACTGAATGCAAAATAGATCTGCCTTTGATAATGTCTGCCGCAGTAGTAGACGAAACATAAGGTATAAAAACCTGCAGACCACGGCTAATAAACCTGAAAACATGGGAAAATCTGTTCGACATAGGCTATGAAAGCCTATACACCATGATTAAAAGTCTATTTGCATTTAGATTTACTGATGACACCGAAATCATTGCTTGAGAGTGAAAGAAGATTCGAGTTCTTTATGAGGTTCTTCTCAATATTTACTGAATCAAATTTTGAAATTACTGAAGGAGGAATCACTTATTTTTCGAAAGATGACCTTCAACCTCCTCCAATATTCAAAGAACGGATCGCACTCCGCCGAAGAAGCGAAAATAAGAAGGTTTTCATTATACTTGGAAGACTTCCATTCCAATATATGATATGATGAGTTCGAGTGATTTTTTCACAAAATGTCAAATATGAGAGGTAATTGACGAATGAATTTGTGGTTTGACATTGCCCTTTTTTCAGAAAATTTCTTTTTGGAGCTGTTGAGCGCGTCCAATTATGATATCGAGCAAATATCTGTCTCCTCCAATGATAACGGGAGTCATTCCATTTTTGGTTTTGTCGATAGCTGTTTCTATGTTGAGTACGACTACATCAACATCATCTCTCGCTTGTTTTGTTATAATATTTACACTTTCTAACTTTCTTAATGACTATATCAATAGTTTCTTCGAAGAATCCATTTAACAAAAAATATTATAAATGTCTATTTGCATTTAGATTTGCTGATGACATCGAAATGATGACTGGTAGCAGACCAGGTCTCTACTGGTTGATTTGCTGGAAATATCTTTCTCCCTTGGCAATGATTTCCATCTTGGTGGCGAGCATTATCGAAATAGCTGTCGATGGATCAGGATATTCTGTTTGGGTATCTGCGAAAGGTGAAACTGAAAGGCATTCCTGGCCTGTATGGTCCATACTTTTGATATCAGTTTTGGTGTTGGCCTCCGTCTTATGGATACCTGGAGCTGCTATTGCCAGGTAAGAAAAATATCAACTATGTGATAGAACAACTACTTTAGTGTTCATACAGGTCCAGTTATTGTTTAGTTTATTCTTCTTCATCTTTTATTCTAAATTTACAGGGTGTAACGAAAATGTAGGTCATAAATTGAACCACATATTCTGGTTGAAGAATAATTCGATTGAATGTAAATATGAACACAAAAAAACAGAATAAAAATCGATTTTTTTGAAATATTCCATGAACTGTTTAACATTCTGTGATGAAAATGGATCCTTATCATGAGATCCTCTTTTTCATATGAAACCACGAAATTTTAAATTAGTTTTGTCACACCAATGGTTCAATACATCGATTTTGAAACTTTTTTGTCACCTAGCGGGTGATTTTTCAAGAGGTATAGGATTTGATTTTCAAAACAACACGGATAGTTTGAAAAAATTGATGAAATCTTCATTGGAATCGATAAAATGATCAATATAATTTACTGTTTGACAATGATTCCATGCAAATCTTATCCGCGGCTCCGCTTCAGATGGCCCATGTTCAAGGTCCAATTTTGACGCATTCTCTCTAACATATCGATTGGTATTTCACTTATAAATGCTTCAATATTGGCTTCCAGAGCGTCAGTCGTTGCTGGTTTATCCCTGTAGACATGATGCCTTAACATGACCACACAAGAAATGATCCAAAGGCGTTAAATCATACGATCTAGGCGGCCAATTGACGGGTCCCAAACATGAGATGAACTGTTCACCGAAGGCGGCTCTTAATTGGGTCATTGTTTCTCGTGCCGTGTAGCATGTCGCACCGTCTTGATGAAACCATATGTCAGGCATGTTCAATTTTTTCATTTTGGGCAACAAAAATTCGTTAATCATCACACGGTAGCGCTCGCTATTCACAGTAACGTTGTGGATTTCTATTTTCATATTTGAAGAAGTACGGGCCGATGATGCCACCGACCCATAATCCACACCGAACAGTGACTTTTTCGGGATGCATCGGTAGCAATTGCAATGCTTGTGGCTGGTATTTACTCCAGATGCGGCAATTTTGCTTGTTACCGTATCCATCCAACCAGAAATGACCCTCGTCGCTGAACACAATTTTTCGATAAAAATATGGATCTTCCTCCAACTTTGCCAGCGCCCATTCACCAAATGTTAGACGTTGTGGGAGGTCGTGTGGCTTTAATTTCCGCACCAGCGATACCTTATAAGGTTTTACACCCAAATCCTTTCGCAAAATTTTCCACGTAGTGGAGTAACAGTAGTAACAGAGACCCAATTGCTGCAAACGGCGGCGAATCGACATTTCACGGTCACTACGAACACTGGCGGATACAACCGCAATATTGTCTTCGGTCCTCACTCTACGTATGCGTGTTGGTGATTTAATGTCCAATAATGTAAATTGGGCTCGAAATATAGTCACAAGCTTTCGAATAGCTCCCTCAGTAGGAAGACGAAACTGCCCATAAATGAGCCAGAACAGTGTTATTTACGTGAAATCAATTTATTATTCAAAAATATAAATCTGATATAAAAAATCATTTAGTACTAGTATAATGCCAACAAAGCATTGCTGTTTTGCGAATTGTACGCCGGATAATCGATATCCGGAAGAAAACGTGTTTCTCATAACATTTATAAAACCTCATAATAATGAGATTAGATGTAAGAAATGGATACATGCTTCGATCATGAATTTTGAAAATAAAATTCAATAATTTGCAAGCGTTGTTCATTACCAAGTCGATTCGTGGTTGTTTGACAATGACACAAGACACGATTCACGCGTGATCTGTCAAAAACAGTGTTGCCAAAAAATACCAGCAAAAAAATACTTTAGTACTTTTTCGAAAAGCCAGTTTTTATCGAGATACGGGTTTTTCTTCATTATCCTTCAAGAATGCCAGAAAAATGCTACTTTCTGAAAATAAAAGCATCTCGGAAGAATGTACCACTCGGATGGTTGTTAAAATAATCATTTTATCTACAAGTAAAAGTGCCTCAACTATGACGATAGATATAGGTCCAGATGAAATGAAAAATCAATTTGAGTTTAGCAGAATAGTATGAAAAATGTAGGAAAAGTATACTTCAAATGAGTTGATTTACTGGTCATTGATTTTGAAATGACGTTTCGATGTATCGATAGGTGAAATTTTATTATATATGAAAGACTCTTGACTCAGAATACTACTTATTGAAGTAATAATAATGATAATAATAATAACGTCACTCACAAGTGGTAACAGCAGTGAAGAACTCTCTCCGCGGCAAGTATCAGCACGAACTTCGACAGATTTGGTCATCGGAACTGTCGAAGAAGAACAAAGTTGCTGCAACAAATATGCCAGCCATTTCAATCTTATTCTACTCGTTTGAAGTGGTGAAGTGAGTTCGGGAGAAGCTGTATCAACTCTACCTAAAGAACCGAAAAATGATGAACCTCCATAGGAGTTTGCATTCAAAATTGTCCGTTCCACGATTGCACTTCTCCTGACAACAGGGAGGGCCTGAACTTTTGAGTTTGAAGTGTTTACATGACAGAATGGTATTGGATGGAGTGTGTAAAGTCGTCAGGAGTTCGGATACCGACTATGAGACTATGAGAGAGCAGAAATTGGGTCATTCTTCTTAAGGGCAGCTGCCCATGTAAAAGCCGCAGAGATCACTTCACTTCTGCAGTAGCACATGGATGAGCCAATGGATGGAATCTTCTTCAACAACATTGAATACCCTGGCTCATCAAAGCCCTTCATCTTCGCTTTTCTCAGGTCGAGTGGGCTGAAGTCGGAAAATGAGGGGTTTATCATGGCTTGACAAGATGGTGTCTTCAACACCCCAGTCTACCGCATTCCCGTGATGGATATAAAAGTTCCTGTCACAAGGTGCAAGGCCAGCCGCGAAATATCTGAGACTCTAATGCACTTGCTGTCATCATGTCCAGCATATGTGGTCTCGGCCTATATCCATCGACATAACGCGGCCCTTAGAGTTCTTTATTACTACTTTCGATACTTTTGCAGTATTGATTCGAGGGCAATTGAATCCGTTGTGAAACGAAAAGTGTGAAATATACTGGAATTTTTCGTTTCCCACACTTGGGTTCATGTAAGCTAATAAGCCTGATGAAATCATTCCCGACCACCAGAGCAAGACGATATTTGTCGTATAGTTTCTAGATCTTGGCGAGACAAATATCGTCCGAAAAGCGGAGAAGAAACGGATAAATAATAAAAATTTTTCCTTCGAACTCAGCAGACTATCCAGATCACTCTGTCAAGATAGTTGTTCTGAATCATTGGAGTTCTTGGTGGAATTTTGCCGTCTCTACTCTCAAATTTCAAAATCTTGCCGGCTTGCCGGACAACTGCAGACGGCTGCCATTCTTCTTTCACTACTCTTGCTTTAGGTAATAATTCTCGAATCTAATGTTCACTCACCCCACTGTGTGGAGAGAGGTCGTTGGTTGATAATGCTGGCGGATCCTCCTGAATGTAACGGGACTTCGGAGGATAGGGCCTAACCAGCGAAAACTTGTGTTGAATAAGATAATAATCGTTTTAATCTACTGAAATACAAATTACATTAATACATAATGATGAGACAATACAAAATATATAGGAAAGAATGTCAGTCAAAAGGCAGAGTCGGCTGAAGAGACTTGTTCTTCCCCTCAAACATAAAACATGCAGATCAAGTAGATGCACAAAAGGACGTTCAATTATCTGAGATAATGATGCAGTTTTTTTTCAAGAATTATCATATGCTTCAATCCATTTTTGAAACGGGTAGTTTTTTTGGTACCTTGGGAGCTGTCTGACTTGTCCATTTAGTCTTCTTTCGAATACTTATAGTAAATGACATATTCAGGGTGAGTGTAGTATGTGTGTTTGTAATAATTGAGGTGTAGATACAACATATTCAGGGTGTAAGTCATATTTGGGCTTTGTCATATTCATATTATTTAGTCCAAGTCTCCAGAAAATACTTCAGTCTCTTGGGCTTATTGTGTTTATTCTCCCATCTTCTCATGATACTCATTTCATCAGTCTCGTTCCCTGTACTAGTTTGTACTAGTTCGTCTTCTGGACGTAATTTCGTACGTCCATATATTGCCTGCCTTCTGTGATTTAGTGCCTCTTATTCGCATAAGATGTGTAAAGCTGTTTCCCTTCGTTTCACAGTAACCCTGTGATTATTCTGAGCCGATCCCTACTATATTGAAGTAGTTCTTCGGTTCTTTTCTCGGACGGTTCCCTAATGAAAGTTCTACTATGTTTGTTGCCAGGTACTTCTGTCCAGTACTCTATGTGCTTCTTATTGGTCCATGTCCTAATCTGGTTTTGTACCAATGATTTTGGTACCACCAGAGCTTGTTCAGGACCTATATATGAAGTTGATGATCCGCGTCTAGCGCATTCATCAGCTGTATCATTACCTGTGATTCCTGAATGCCCTGGCATCCCGTACAAAGTTAATTTGTTCTTGTTTGCAAGTTCACTCAGTTCTTCATGGTATTCCCAGACCAGTTTTGATGTCACCATCGGGTTTGTTAGAGCCCCTAGTGCGCTCTTGCTGTCTGTTTAAATATTGATCCGCTCATTTCTTTGAGGTCTCAATTCAATAAGCCTTGCACACTGCAAGATAGAATACACTTCTGGCTGAAAGACGGATATGTATAGTCCTAGCGGATAACTGTGCCGCTCCGTATATTCCAGCTCCCGTTCCATGTTTGGTCTTCGATCCATCTGTATACCAGCTGTTTTTTCCATACATGTTTTCGGGGTGACTAATGATCGTCCACTCTTCACGGCTTATGATTTTATCCGTGAAGTTTGTGTTAAAGGTGTACTTCGGTGTCATGTGGTTCGCGCACATATTCAATATGTATTCCTACACATGTTCCAAAATTTCTGTTCGGTCCGATCATTTGTAGTTCGATGAGTTTTCCAGTCTGAATTGGCCCATCCTGGCCTTCCCCATTATCACAGAGTGTAAAGTAGGTAGATTCAGGAGTGTCGCCAATGCAGGTGGGGTAGTTCTCATTGCCCCCGTCATTTTCAAATATGCAAGTCTTCGCAACTTACCTAGTTTGTTGATGGCGGTCGCCTGCTTCATCTTTGGCCACCAGACCAGAGATGCGTATGTTATCATGGGTTTAACCAACATCATGTATAGCCGACGGGTAGAAACGGGTAGTTAGTTACCACTAACGTCCTAAATCTCGTTAGTTTTTTGAATAGAAATTTCTCGAATTGAGTCTGTAAATTTCCTTCGGTGATATTTGACGATATTCACTTTCTAATTTGAAGTTATTTCTGTTGTAGGCTGTTTGGTTATGTGGTAATAGACGACAATGAGAAGGCATGGTTTCCAGCTAACGATTTGAGGGACTTCCATGGAATAATGCCTCATGAAGTAACTACAGCAGAAAAAATACTATTCTGTATGAGGGCTGACGGGTCGGAAGGCCTCTGTTGCCCAACACACCATTCTTATGACGAAGACGATGAAGAGATTTGAAGACAATAATAAGATAAGTTTCACAGAATTAAGTCGCGTAGAGATAAATAATAATTGTAGTTCTCGAAATATGTGATGATGTAGACAATAAAAATAACATTTTATGTGTTCACGTTTCCTTGAAATATTGATTTTTTAAGAGCAATATAATAGAGATAGTGAATTGGTGTTATTGGGCTCGTATCACTTTTCAATGCTTTTTAATCTCTATGCGACTTATTCTTGTTCCGAAGGTTTTTATGAAAATTCGAAACAGTAGGCGAATGAATAAGATCATAGTTCGCTATTCATTGTTTAATACCTCATAGTTCAAAGAAAACATAAAGTTGATGTTCTATAAATGAATCGAGTAAATTACTGGTGTACCCATATAAACTACTCAAAATCAATTTAGAGACATGTCCTTAAAATCCAATAAGTGAAAAAACATGTATTATTTCATGATAAAAACTTCTGGTGTGTACTCCATACTAATTCTCATCATGTTCTTCCCAACTTTTCCCAACTTTTTCCCAAGTCGAAAAGGCGGGGGAAGGCTCCTCCCCATCCCTTCCCATGGCGACGGCCGTGCATGTTCCATTCGGTTGTTGTTTACTTTTTTACTTTTTTTCTTCTTTTTGTACTTTCAGCTACAAAATCATTGATATGAAAAATTCTGTATTTCGTTTCACTTTACTTTAGTTCGTGATAGGTATTAAATTTTGAAATTCAAACAATGAATGTTAATGTATTGGGTAGAAGGAGGATACGTGTGGTGTACTTCAACGAATTTCGAGTTGCTAGAGTAGTGGCAGTGATAGAAGTAGGGTAATCAAGGCGTCGTATAGCCCAAATGCTTAATGTGAGTCATTCTGCGGTTTCCAGAGCTTGGAATCGCTACCAAATTTACGGCATAGTAAAAAGACCCCCTTATCCCAATCGACAAAGAGCAACAACCCGCAGAGAAGATCGTTTGTTATGATCGTACCGGTTCTGCTAGAACAGTGCAAATTCGCCTTATAGAAGCTACGGGAACGCGAATTTTGAACCAAACCGACTTCACGAAGGACAACTCCGACTGCAAGACGACCTGCTAGAGCCCCTAGATTAGGTCCAGCTCATCGAGGAAATCATAGAAACTTTTGTCAAGAGCATCGTAATTAGAATTTAGAGCAGTAGGCCAATGTAATGTTTGCAGATGAAAAAAAAATTCAACAATTTGCCCAAAATATGAGCGCTGGTTTCATTTCACAACAAGATAACGTGCTGGCCAATATTATGCTCCTACAGGAGCACAATATTGATGTCATGGTATGGCCAGCTAATAGTCCGGATTTAAATTCTATTGAGCAGCTCTGGAAAGACGTTTGAAGGATCATCTATTCTTTCAAAATCTGAACCAAGTTGCAGATGCTCTTTTGATTCACGAGCAGTTACCACAACAAATAGTTAGAAATTTGGTGGAAAGCATGCCTCGTCATTGTGCCGAACTTCTTAGAGCCAGGGGTGGACGTACTCACTATTAATGTACATTTTTCTTATTTTTTTCTGAAATAAATTTTATTTGTTTTTGACACTCATTTGTATTTCTTTATAATCGTATTACCAAATATGGATTTTTGAAATAATTATATTGTTTCTGAGGTTTATTTTTCATTACCCTAATTCATTTAAACAATAATGAAATACGTGAAAGAGACTTTTCATATTACATGAGGATGAAACATCAACATATTTGCCACTTCCAGAAGTATGATGCATTTCAACTGGTCAACAATACAACATATATTTTATAGTCTTCATAGTAACCAGTTGATACTGTTGATATGGAGAGAAATGATCATATTGTCGAACATCTCTATCTTTCTGCACAAATAATTTCAGTTTGACAAATAACTCCTAATTATACAGTACTTAATTGTACAATAGTTTATCGACATAGAACTCGATCATATTGAATAACTTATGGTAATACAGTGTCTATATTTTGACTAAAACTCGATTTTAGTCACGAACTTTTTTGAACTATGAAAAAACTCGAATCATGAACATTCGACTTTTCATAAAAACTTGACGAAATACTTTTAGAAGGTAACTGTAGCGCTAGGAATAATCTCTTAAATATAGTCTTATTGAACAGTGTCTTAGAATTAACAATAACTTCATTTATTTTTGTATTATTTTACGCTGTAAAATAATGAAATTGGTTGTAAAACAGACAATAATTCACAACAAACACAGAAGTGTTCAACATTCTTTGACGGAGAACTTGTGATAAATCTGCACAAATGCATTTATTGAAAAAATGTTAATCAACACTCTTGTGACTTGTTTCGAAAGATGAAAGAAACACTATATTAATGTACAGGGTGTCAATTTGAAAACTTGCCACCCTTAATATCTTCCTTCTAGTAAACAATATGAGGAAAAGCAGGTCGATTTCATAGTCAAGAGGGACACTTTCAAGGACTATTTGTAGCCCTTGTGGTTTACCCCGTAAGAGGGGTAAATGTTACCCCCAGAACTTTAAATGGCAATGGGAGTCAAGTGTCACATCATTTTGATTGGCGTTCAATCTTACTTCCAATGGTACCCTGAGTTATTATTTTTTGATAAGCATTTTCTGAAAAATAGCGTTCTAAACTTAAACATGTGAGTAGAATTTGCCTGTTCTGAGATGCATTATTGTATTGACTCCTTTCAATGAAAATGGTACCGTTCCAACCCTTGAATGACAGGAATAAATGTATGACGTGTGTGGGGTTTTTCATTTGTTGGTTATTGTCCATTCACAAAATTAAATTAAATTTTCGAAAAAGACATTTCAAATGTGAAATATACCTATCCTTACCTCACAAACTGTAGAAATGTTGTCCATTTTGCTTTAAACAATAATAAAGTATGTTTTCTGACTCCCCTCTAACATTATGGAAAACTTGACTGGTTTGCTGCTGTGATTCGTCTTTTAAGTTCTTCAATATCAGAAAGTTGTGTTTTATAAGCAAAGAATTCAGGAAGTCGTCAAAGAAAGAAATCTAAGGATGTTAAATCCGGTGATTTCGGAGACCATTTAACTGCTTTTTTTCTGCCAATCCATCTTTCCGGAAATCTCTCGTTTAACCACTGTCGGACGGGAATAAAACAATGAGGTGGAGTACCGTCCTGCTGAAAATGTTACAGATCCTCTTGCAAAAGTTCGTTATCTCCTGCATTCATTTGAGTTTATAGCTCGTGAGTTATGAGAGGATCGATAGTCTTCCCAAGTATTTCAAGGTATAGTCAAGTTTTTGCTAGAAATAATAGACCTATAATGGCATTTCCAAGAATACCAGATCAAACATAAACTTTTTGTGGGTGTAAAAATTTGTGGATTTTCTTCACAACAATAGCGACAATTTTGTCTATCGACATTGCCATTCATGAAAAATGAATCGCTGAAACAGATGTTCAACAGAAGATGAGGAATGGTATTGACTCGATGAGACATGATTTCACAAAACTCTATTGTTCTATCATAATCATTCTCGTGGAGCTTTTGCAGAATCTTCATTTCATAAGGATAAAATTTATGCATTTTTAATGCTTTTCTTACAGTCTCGCATGACATTACCGTCTGTTCTGATACTGATCGTAAGGAGCTCTGCAGCAAATGTTCCCAAAACTTCAATTTGAACGGCTTCATTTGGTATTCTGGGGTTATTTCTTTTTTCATTTGTCACTGAACCAGTTTCGTGAAACTTATTCATCAAATCAAGCACAACTTCTCCATAAATAATAATCATTTCAATTGTGTCTTTAAGAATATGAACCATTTTTACACTTTTATATACTTATTGAAGTAATCACTAAACAGCCCAACAGGTATAACTTTATGCATAATACTACCACATCGTTCAAATTTGCGAACCAATTTTTTGCCTGAAAACAGAAACTTTTTACAGGAGTAGCAAAAATGGACGGCTATCTGTACAATTTCTGTGATGAGAATTGAAAATTCAGCTTTCACTCAACACAATTTTACTATCATCTACGTTTCACTGTGAGATTACTTTTTGATGTAAATTAATTGGAGCTAATGGCTAATGTTACCCATAATGAAGGGTTGGAACGGTACCACCTAATATTCTTGCCAGTTCTGGTCAAACCATGCATGTCAGTATGGGCGTACTAAAAGTTAGTTTCTACTCATCAGAAAATAATAGGTTAGGTTACCATTGGATGCAGAATTGAACGCCAATCAAAATGATGTGTCACTTTACCCCCGTTCCCATAAGATCTACTCCTACTAGAGGATTGAATAACAAGGGCTAAATAAAATCCTTATAAGTGTCACCCTCAAAAATAAAATCAACCTGCTTATTCGATTCCTCATATTGTTTACTGAAAGGAAGATATTAAGGGTGGAAGTTTTCAAATTGACACTATGTATAGTATAGATGGAAATCTATTTGAAAGTTTAGCGTGAAAATTGTATTAGACATTGTAATTCATATTTGCAATTCCTATTGTGAATGCATAACATTTTTTGTGAATATGTCGTAAATGATCTTATATTTTTAATTCAGTCGTTAGAGGGTTGCAACATACATTCAATCAGCTATTAATGAATTTTATATAATTTGAAATCTTCACAATTGACTCAGAGTATGCATGTATACCAAGACAAAATTTTTCGTAGATTATAGTCCACAGTAATCATTTTGCTGAAATCGTGATTCTACGTCATTTTGGGTGCTCTGTACCTTCTTTGCAATTGATTTCGTATAAAATCCTTAAGGACAATTCTGTTCATGAGAAAATTGAATATGAGGCATATTTGACAGGGAGCTAGAAACTGCCCTTTTCAGTAGTTTTTTTTTCAAGATGGTGCCAAATGCAGATCAATGTGGCTAATGATAAGTTGAGTTTTTCACTCTCCAACAGTTGGGGTTAATCGCTTCTTACTCCTCTAGCGGCTATGTTACATATCGATATACAATGAAAATTATTTCTTCCGGAATGGTAGGTTTTAAAAAAGTCCACAGATTTACATTTCTCGAAGGTTAAT